ATGAACATGATGAATTGAATGCATTGATTGAAGAATGAAATTAAATTCAATGCATACATATATGTTTGATTCCGTATGAAAACAATTTGTTCAACATGATGGCCTTAAGTTCAGAACTGGCTGATAATCGATTGTCTATTGTTGATAATCGATTACCATGCTGTGCAGCTTCTGTCCCCAAAGTCCTGCAGACTGTGATAGTCGATTGTCACCTTATGAAAATCGATTGTCAAGTTGGTTTGTTCGGGAAGTCCTAAGTTCAGAGAGCCCTGATAATCGATTATGGCTTATGGGATAATCGATTATCAGTGAAGCCAACTCAGACCCAAGAATCCGCTGGGCCTGATAGTCGATTATCACATATGTGATAATCGATTATCACGCTGTGCTGAATAAATTGAGGAGTCCAGCGTGGCCTGATAGTCGATTGTACTTTTCTGTAACTCGATTATCAAGGCACGCTGACTTCCATTAAATCTGTTTGTTTGTCATCAAAACGTTGGAAGTTTTAGAAACGAATGGTTGCATTTCCATGCTAGATAATCGAATAACTTACAAGGTTTCAAAACGTTTATATTAACAAGAACATAACTTGATAACATGGACACACGTATGTTGGATGGTTAACCTACGAACATGCATAGTTTCTACGTAGGTTGCGTACGATATTGCTATGAATATAACGACATAGATTATAACTAAATGTTCTTGAATTAGAGAGGACAACTACTCACTTCTAAATGAAGGAATTGACGAAACGATGACACGTGATGAGCAAATAGTTGACGACGTTGAACGACGAATGGTTCCTCGTGTCCACCTCCTTCTCTTCTTCCTCCTCGTCTACTCGCCGAAATCGTCTCCCTAGGCTGCTATGCTTGGCTGAACAAGAGAAGGGAGAGAGAGGAAGTGTGAATGCTTTGGGGGTTACAAGTGTGGTGGAGAAATGGAGGGTGAAGGGCCTTATGTTAAAAAGAAAATAATGAGACATGATGAGGGAATAAATGGGGGGTTATGGGAGAGTAAAGGGTGTGTGGCGTGTGGTTCTTGATTTGGGGAGTTACCTCCCTAAATTCCATTCTATTGTGTAGAATCTGATCTGAACGGTACGCGTTTCCCCCCCCCCGAACGGGTCCGAATTGAGATCCGCTTGTGTTTTTGGAATCAGACAGTGAAAATGAATTTAATGACATGTTCAAATAATTTTTCTAAGAACTTTATTTTCAAACTTCCGGGTCCATCCCAATCATTAATTAATTTATTTATTTAATGTTGAGAGGTCCATTATTAAAACATCTTTTTATATTAAAAAAAACATTAGCTTTGGAAAGCCATTTAAAGAGATTGAAATCTCAATACTTAATAATTTAAAATAGTGAGTCTCAATAAATAAATAATATTTATTTATTTAAAACTAGGCTGGTTTGTAGGGCGTTACAATTATCTCCCCCTTAAAGGATTTTTGTCCCCGAAATTCTCCTCAAGTCACACCTCACGTGTTTAAAGAGATAGTGCGTTACCCCAAACTTTGTTTTGCGAAGCATATGAGGGCATAATAGATTAAAGACCAATTGACAGATTTCATTCAAGGAACTTATTTGGTTTAGATAAGTGGGACGAAATGTTGCATTGATTACAGCTTTGACCATGTTGTCAGTTAGTAGGCAACTCACTCCCACTCGTCTGGTCGGGCTGAGTCCACTGGAGGATTATCCCCACCTGCACCGCAGATGCTATTAGCAGAGTCTATGCTGAACGTTTCCTCTAGGTCATCTCTTTCCCATGCTGCCTTCCGGCGCTTCCAGATTCTTAACTTTGCTATCCGAGCCTTGCGGTGTGCACGTTGGTAGCGTTCTTTTGAATCGTAATTTTTCCTCTTGTTCTTTCGTCTCTTACCGAGCACGAAGGTTCGACTGGAGTCAACGCTTGACACGCTTCCGGTACTGATGGTACTCATCTAACGATCATACAGTATCAAAAATGGGGAACAAGTGAGCGTATAACGCAATTAATATGAGGCTTCGATGTGCGCTCACGTGCTCAAGCACTCCTATGTGGATCTACCTGTCCGTCATTACCTACTGCTTGGCTCGTTCTCTATAAGAAGAGCTTAAATCAAAACTAATTACAATATGACATATAAATGAATTAAATAACGGTGTACCTTTCCCTGGAAGTGATGTGATGGAAGATGCGACTGTGGACTTTTTGAATATACTCTTTGACCAAGATGAAAAAATATGTTTTTTTCTTCACAAAAATCGAACTGCTCTGATACCAAATTGTAACACCCGCCTTCCGTGGTCCCGGTTCACCGCGACACAACGGACCGGTAGGGTTACATGGGCGGTCCGAGAACCGTCCGTAGAGAAAACCGCATTAATGACTATTTATTAGGAAAACGGTTGAGTTTAATTGGTGAAATAAATGCTAGGGAATTAATTCCAAAACATGTGTGATTTAAATGCAGACTAAAAGCGTAAGTAAATAAATGAGTAAAACCACAAATGGTGGGTTCATGCCCAAATGATTAATTAATTAAATGTATTTAATTATTGAACTTGTCCATGCGCCGCCCATCTTCCCACCATCACTATCCTCCAGGGTTAGCACCTGCACCGTCATGTCTACCTGCGTGTAGCAAAAACAACTACACGCTCAGCAAAAGCTGAGGAGTGAATCTAACAAAAGAACATGTAGCGATAACCCATATGGTTATACACATTTAAATACATGTACTTAACGTACGGAAAACCACATGTTTGCTAACTTATTAATTTGCACTTGATGAGATATTATTACACATAACAAAATGAATAACAACCACATTGAATATGGACATGATGGGAACATACATGATGCTGACAACCACATTGAATGTTGACGTGACATGAAACGTACATGATGACAATATGACTTGATGCATGACTTGAGCTATTAGGGACACCCCTGACTTAGTCCTGCACTCCGGTAATGACCCGAGCTCGACAAAACGTCGCAAGTGAACTAGCAAAAAACTGGGTAGTAGCCGTAGCCTGACTACCATGTACGTACACAAAGCCCACCTGATGAAAACCCGTTGGATCCCAAAGGTTCCTGGACGGGCCCACTGTAATAGGCGCACGAAAGCCTGACCTCCCTACAGCGGTATGCACATGATGATGACCCTAGGACATGCGTCTAGGATGAACATGATGAATTGAATGCATTGATTGAAGAATGAAATTAAATTCAACGCATACATATATGTTTGATTCCGTATGAAAACAATTTGTTCAACATGATGGCCTTAAGTTCAGAACTGGCTGATAATCGATTGTCTATTGTTGATTATCGATTACCATGCTGTGCAGCTTCTGTCCCCAAAGTCCTGCAGACTGTGATAGTCGATTGTCACCTTAAGAAAATCGATTGTCAAGTTGGTTTTTTCGGGAGCCTTAGGTGGTTGCCAAGGCGTTTGCTCAACATTTTCTTTAACCTTAGCTTCATTTTTATTAAAACTTATTCCTTCCTTAGAAAAATGCATAGTGTCAAGGAGTAAATTTAAATCTTTGTGCGGAGTATTAAACTTCTTGACCGTGCTCTCAAGTTTGGTGACTTGTTCTTTTAAAGCGTTACAAGATTCACATTCACTAGAGGAACTTTCGGGTTTGTCAGCGCTTCTTTTTCTAAAAAAATTTGTTTTCTTGTTTTAATTTTTCATTTTCTTTTTCCAATTTTTCAAAATCGTTTTCAAGTGTGGAAAGACATTTCTTTAAATATTTGTTCGTTTTAGAAGCGCTAACAAATTCTTCATAAAGTTCATAAAGTGTTCTTGCATTTCTTCAAAAGTATAAGAGTCAGAAGAAGTGGTACATACCTCTTGGACGTCGTTGCTTTGATCTTCGTGCGACATGAGACATAGGTTTGCACCTTCGTCCTCCTCTTGGTCGGTTGATTCGTCGCCGGTATCACCACCCCAAGAGATGTAAGCTCTTTGCTTCTTGAAACCGGGCTTGTCCTTGCCGTGCTTGGCTTTTGGACACCTCGGCTTGATGTGGCGAATCTCTCCACACCCGTAGCATTTAGGAGGACCGTCGTGCTTCCTTCCCTTCCGCTCAAATTCTTTCTTCATGAATTTGTGGAACTTTTTGATGACGAGTCCAAACTCGTTGTCATTGTCGCTTGAAACCTCTTCCACCGGTTCCTTTGTGGCTTTTAGAGCTATTCCCTTTTTCTTTTGTTCGTCCAATGATGGAATAAGAATGGTGGATTCGTAAGTTTTGAGATTACCTCTTAACCCATCAATTGTGACGTTGGTGACACCAATTGACTCGTAGATGGCATCGGCCTTGGAGCACCATTCGGGTGTCAAGCTGCGAGGGATCTTCCTCACTAGATCCTTGTTGGAGTAGATTTTCTTCAAGGCGTGAAGATCGTTGATGATTTTTGAAAAACGCTCGAACATGTCATCGATTTTCTCACCTTGCTTCATTCGGAACATTTCGTACTCTTGGCTGAGAAAATCGATTTTTGCTTCACAAACTTGATCGGTACCTTCGTAGGTCACTTCAAGCTTGTCCCACATCTCCTTGCCGGTTGTGCAAAAGGAGATCTTTCGGTAGTCGTCGGGGTTAACCGCACAATATAGCATATTGATGGCCTTTGCATAATTTTCCACCTTCTTGATGTCTTCGGCATCAAACTCGTCCTCGGTCTTTGGGACCGTGGTTTCTCCCAGTTTCTTCATTGGGATTTGCTCGCCATTTTTGATGACCAACCACAATTGGAAGTTGGTGGAACGGATATAGATTCTCATCCGTTCCTTCAAATAGGAGTTGGTACCATCAAAAAGCGGTGGCCTAGATGTGCATTGCACTTCGCCAATACCTGCGTACAAATTTCTAGAAGAAGAGCCCATGATCTTATTCCTCTCAAACGGTTAAGTCTGGAAGAGAGTTAGGCTCTGATACCAATTGTTAGATAAACGTCCCAACGCTAAAGGGGTGGTGAATAGCGTTTGAAACGAAAATGACACAGGAATAAAAAGTAAAAGCGTAAAGTAAAGAGCAAGGAAGAGGCACACTGTTTTTACCCTAGTTCACCACAACGTGTGGCTAGTCCAGCCTCCTGAGAGACTCTCTCGAGCTACACTATCAACGTTAAGCTTAACGGTGCTTAACAAACCCGTACATCTTGAGAGTTCGAGTTAACGAACCTCAACAACCCTTCGAAGGAAACAACCCTTCCTTTGTGCTACTCAAGAGAAAAACTCTCTTATCAAGTATCTAAGAACACTAAATCACTCAAGAACAATACTCTCTTTTAGAGTGGATAATGAGTAACTAAGAACGTTCAAAAACACAACACGAACTTCACAAAAACGGCTCTCGAAAAGCTATGAATAATGTATGAATGATATGCAATGAAAGAATAAGAGTTGTGAAGTAATGTTATGTGTAAAGCAGACCCAAACACCCCTTTTTATAGTGCCAAAGTAGGCTCCAACGGATCAAAACATTTAAGGGGTGATTGGCACAATATTTGGGATTTGATTAAAATTGGATCTGCTGAAAATCAGCCAGAGAGCGATGTCCATGACTTGGACATCGCTGCTCTAGGCTTAGTTTTTGAAAATTGGGAAGCAACGGTCAAGCCAATAGCGATGTCCAAATTCCCTACATCGCTGTTATGGATGTTGACTTCCAAACAAGGAAAGTTTTAACCATAAATTCCTTCCAACGGTCAGGTGCCTACATTGATGTTCATTACTGGAACATCGTTGTTCAGGCCTGACTTTGAAGGGGAAGGAATTGGCCTGACATCGCTGTTGCTGGGTCAACAGCGCTGTCCAAAAACTTTCTGCCAAGGCATTTCTTTTTGACTTAGGTTTGACAGCGATGTAGGGTATGTTAGAAAGCATTTTCACATTGATGTTTTGTTAATGACAAATGCTTGTTTCTATTTAGGTTTTGATATTGACAAACCGTCGGGAACATGGGACAAAATGAAAAGACTCAAAGTCATAGAAAAAGCTCTTTGAAGGAACAAAAACCACAAGAAAGGCATTGACGTTTCTAAAGACGACGAGATTGGCGTTTTGAAGACGTTGTCTAAAGACTTAGGTTTTCATTAAAACAAGCTCATTCAATTTCTCTACGTCATCGCTCAAAACAAAATATGTTTTTCATGCATAAAATGAGTGTTTTCATAAATGGTTTTATGTTTCCAAAACCCCTGGTTCTTGCCCAACCAAAACCATAACCATTGGTTATCGGCGTTCGGCTATGGCGTTCGGTTTTCGGCATTGGTTATTGGCATTGATTTTAGCCAAATGGTTTTTGGGTTTTTTCTTTGGTTTTTTACTTCTGGGCACATTTAAAGGTTTTCCAAATAATTAGTTTTCAAAAACCATAACCTTTGTTTTTTCGGCGTTGGTTATCGGCATTCGGCGCTGGTTATCGGCGTTGGTTTTTGGTGTCAAAATCAATCAAGTGGTTTTTAAGATTTTATGATTGGTTTTTACTTCTGGGCATATAAAAATTGTTCTCCAACAAAAACATGTTAAAAACCACCTTTCGTTTTTGGTCTTTTGGTGAAAACCATGTGAAACGGCATAAACATGGCTAGCCGTGGTTTTTACCTTAATGAAGTGGTTTTTAAGTTTTTATACTTGTTTTCTACATACAATACATTATATAAGAGTTTCCAACACTTGGTTTTCATTTTGGAGAACTTTAGTTTTTGACATCGGTTTTCGGCGTTGGCTGCCAAACCATGGTTCTGGCGAACCATCCCAACATGCATGTCGGAAATCCCAACAGCGATGTAGGCATTCAGAAGTCCTTGGCAGTAGGTTTTTGAACAGCGATGTTGATTTCTGAACAGCGATGTTTTCAAATGACCGTTGGGCTATTTAAGACAAAATATTTCCATTTTTGAAAGTCAAACACCCCAACATCAATGTAGACTTTTAGACATCGATGTTTTGATGACCGTTATCCATTTTTAAAGGAAAGTCAAAGCCAAAACAGCGATGTTCACTTTATGAACAGCGATGTTAAGCTAAAATTTTGTGGACCAACTTTGATTTGATTTCCACAAATCATGCCATTAAACCCCAATCAACTCCCATCCATTACACATCATTTTTGGGTATAAATAGGGGTCTTTTGGGTCTACTTTTCAGAATCATTCCTCACACATTTCATAGCTTTACATTGCATCATTCCATAAACTTTTTACATAGCTTTTTAGAGCCATTTCTTGAGGAATTGAGTGTGTTCTTGATCTAAATTAGTTTACTCATATTCTACTCTTTAAGAGAGTTTTTGTTCTTGAGTGGTTAAGTGTTGTGAACACTTTAAGGGAGGTTTGTTCCCTTGGTTGTACGAAGGAAGGGCATATTCCTTTGGGTTCAAGTCTTGGAGTGCGGTATCTCCGAGCAAGTGTATTGAGGCTCGTGGGACTCGAGTTCTCAGGTTGTAACGGTTTGTTAAGAACCCGTAAGCTTAACGTTGATAGTGTAGCTCGAGAGAGTCTCTCGAGAGGCTGGACTAGCCACACATTGTGGTGAACCAGGGTAAAATCGGTGTGTTCTTTCCTTACGCTTTTTATTCCGCTCTTTACTTTATCCCTGCGATTTTTATTCCGCGAAAATTTATAAACATTCTCGTGCCTCACTATTCACCCCCCCCCCTCTAGTGAAGGGCACTTATTCTAACAATGTAGTCTACATCGCTGTTCCAGATGTTTCTGGAAACCCAACCTTGGCTCAACAGCAATGTCTAACATCCAACATCGCTGTTGGGCTGGTTTAGCCAGACCCATGGTTGGTTTAGTCATGCCGTTACCCGATGTCAAAAATCTAAGTTCTCCAAAGTAAAAACCAAGTATTGAAAAGTAATAAAGTAAGACATCTTGAAAACCACGTCATTTAGATAAAAACCATGGCTAGCCAAGTTTACGCCGTTTTGCATGGTTTTTACTAAACGACCAAAAACGAAAGGTGGTTTTTGAAGGTTTTTTGTTGGAGAACTATTTAAATATGCCCAGAAGTAAAAAACAATCATAAAATGTTGAAAACCACTTGGTTGGTTCGGACGCCAAAAACCAACGCCGGATGGCTTGGTTTTTGGTTGGGCGAACACCAAGTGTTTTAGTCTTGTTTAAACTTTTGAAAAACATTTTTGAATATGCAAAAGAGTATTCTAAGTCTTCGTTTTTGGTTCTTGGTTCTTGGTTTTCAATTCGTCATGTCATGTTCCTTCACCTTTGATTTGCTCAGCTTAATCTTGTTTTCACGGCGGTTTGGCATTATCAAAACCTGTCAAAAAACGAACACGATTTAGTACGACATAGGCGTAAACCCGTGTTCCAACAGTTTCAATCAACACCCGAGAGATATCGACCATGTTGATGTCCATGGTGATAACTATGGGATCATTATGGTCCTCACCGGTGGATGGAAGATCCCGGTCTGTGAAGATGATCGGCTCTCTTTTGCTTTGCTTTCATCTAACCGGGTTGGAGCTTACTTCTCCAACATATATTCTATGCACCCAGTTTTTTCTCTAGGCAGGGGAGTCTCCGCCCTCTGGTCCGCCAAAGATAATCTCAATATGTTCCTTTTTTGGGGCCGGTCTCTATTTCCTTTTTTGGTCACTCCTTCTATCCTCATCTCGGTCGTCCTCGCTTCTGGTCTTACCCACTGATGGTTCTTCTCTTGGGCCTTGCGAAGATAATCCCCATCAAGCTCGCCTCTATCAATCATTTGTCAGATAGCGCCCTTGGTGCTTTTACGCTCGAAAGTGTTATGAGAATCTGACTTATGATATGATTAGTATTTGTTCGACCATGTCCGACCCGGGTTCCCTTCCTTCCCAAGGGCTTTCCTAACCTCATGACACTCCTCTATTTTGACCTCATGTACGACTGGGTCATAAGGATGTCTGGGCTTACTCGACCCGAGAGCGTCCTCTTTCTTCACTTGTACCAGTTTTGATTTATGGCCGTGTTCCACTTCATTCTTTGCGCGGTCCTGGGATTCTGCTTCAGTGAATTCCCAGGCCATGTTATAAGCTTCCTCGTATGAAGTGGGAGGTCTTTGGAAAAATTCCTTGTAAAGTTTCCTAGCGCGGAGACCACTCAATAAGAGCGACAAGGTCGTCTTGTCGTTCATTTCCTCCACCTTGTCCACCTCATCTCTCCACTGGATTAGGACTTGAGTAAGGTTCTTTGATTCCCGTTTCCCGGCGGTGCTAAGATATGTGAATTTCTTCCTCTTTGTGCATTTCGCTTGGAACTTGGCTTTAAATTTGTCAGCTAATTCGTCAAATGAATCAACCTTACCCGGGGGCAGCTTGTAAAACCACTCAGCCGCTCGCCCACGTAGCGACTGGAAGAAAAGGAGGCATTCTTCTTCACTGGTGCATCCCATCATCGTGGTGCACTAATGGAAGGAATGGAGATATACTTCAGGGTTCTCCTTCCTGGTGAACTTTAGATTTTCCATCTTTGCCTTCCGGGGAAAGGGAGTCCGATGGACCCTCGCGGTGAAGGGGGAGTTTCTTAGTGGCTGTTTGTCTTTATCATTCTTCTCCTCCACCATTTTTTCCAGCATCTCCAGCTTCGCCTCCATATATTGCACCCAGTCGGTCAGATTTCCCAGCTTGCTTCTCACCGGCTCATGTGGCTGGCTTTCAACTTCCTCCTCTCTGTGTGAGACACGAGATTTGGCAAGCTCTACCCTGTGTGGCCGGGAGAACAGGGAACGAGCAGGCTCGGCCTCCCTTCGCACGCCTAACCCGGCAAATGCGCTGACGTGGGCCATATCGGGTCCCAACCTCAGCTTTGTGGATTGCCATTGTCGTTCTTCCCTTTCTCCTAGCCTATCGAAGGCAAAGCCCCGGCAAGTTGTCAATCTTTGGGCCTTGAATGTTCCACTCTTTCTCATCACTCTCGATTGAGATGCAATTACCTTCCGGTGTGCTCTGGGGTGACGTGATGGCCCAGCAGCATTCATGCTATTTGCTAGGTTGATAGGGGGAATCGTGTTGACCACTTGTGATTGAAAAGGTGATGGTTGTGGCACCGGTGTTTGAGTGGAGTGGCTGGCATGGGATCCTGCAATAATAACTATCTCGCGCCTGGTAGGGGAAATGGGAAGATTCCCAGGAGGAAGGGCATTCCTCTTGCTTGTTGGCACAAAGCCATCACCTGGCCACAGCCTTAAATAGCTTGTAAGTTGGTCGGGTCATTCATGAATGGTTGGAGCCGTGACATGATTTAGGCCTATCGGCATCACCGCGGCAAAGAAAGTTTGCTAAGAGGTGACCACTGGAATGGTCAGTCCTTCATTGGTGGCCTGCACTTGGATCGAGGTAGTGGTGGTTTCCTGACTCGTCGACATATTTTGCAAGTGGTGTTTTTTGGGTGAGAATGAAAAATAGAACTCAAATCGGTCTCACGGTCAGTGCCAAAAATGATGGTGAATTACTTACCGGGTAAATTACTCTAGACAAGGTCTAGGATGACTTACTAAGGCAAAATAAGCAAAAGACACAGGAAACAAGTGTTGACTGGGAGGACTCTAGGTGTTCACCTGTAGTCCTATTGTTATTGAATATAGGCAAGAGTACATGGAAGAAGTGTACAAGAGCTTTCTAGTGAGAGAATTCGGATCCCCTTTAGGGGGTTACACATGGTATTTATAGCATTTAAAAAGGGGAGGGACAAGGCGTCATTCGCCACTATTCACCCATGTGAGGAGGTGACTTATGTTTGTCTTGTATTGTTTTCTCCTCTTCCTTGATTGATATCTTACTGTGCTTTGTCTTGTAGCGTTTGGACACGCTAGTTGGTGTGAAGGATTCGATCCTCTCCAAACTACCTTCCAAAATATGCCGGACTGATGATTCGTGTGATCCTCGATAGGTCACCCGGGTGATCTTTCCCGATAACTCACCCGGGTAGGGCTGGACACAGTACCTATATGGTACCGTTACCAATGCCGGTACTGCCGGTACCACAACCGTCACCGGAGACAGGCACGGGGATTCGGTTCTGTGAACAAGTACTGAAACCATCCCGCACAGTACCGGTTCCCGTGTCACTTTTTCAATACTGGCACCGGCGGTACAGATACTATTTTAATTTTTTTCCTTTTCTTGCTTTTGCGAACCTGCAGCTGCAGTGCTTCACCAAGGGGCCCTCACTCAATGGCATTATAGCCGTTTGAGTGGGGGGTTTGGGGGGTTTAACATTATAAATAATCTCTCACTTTTTTAAAATACCACAATCAATTCTCCCTAAAATCTCAAATTCTCATTTCTCAAATCTCAATCCCTTCCTCTCTATTATCTCTCTTCAATCTTCATACATTTTATATTCATATAATAATATAAATATATATTAATATATTATATAATATATAAATATATACTCATATAGTCATATCATACTAAATTTTTAGTCATACATTTATATATTACTAATATATTAAATTATTATAAATTAATATTATAATTTCGAAATTCAATATATAATTAATATTTTAAATATATAATATAGTCCTTTTTTATCAAAATAAAAATATATTAAAATGTCGAAAGAGTCCAGTAGAAGGTCCGTGGATATGGCCATTGTGAACTGAGGTTCGAGGAAAGGCAAAGCTAAAGCCACCTCCGACGGTTCAAGCCCACGTGGTTCTCAAGGAAGACACTCCGTCTCTTCCTTCCCTACTCTCCCTGATCAATTCGTTGCTGATGCTATGACGGATCAAGAATTTGAACACTATTTCGGAGGTAGGACGGACGCCAATCTTCAAACTCTTGAAGATATATTCGAGGACATTGATGAAGCAGAAATGGAAGTGGAGCCTACACCGGACAGCAACAATCCTACCGATTCCGTGTAACACCCTAATCCGTCCAGGTCTGCAACCCCTTGGTAATCGTAAAAATTTAAAACTTTTCAAACACTTTTATTTATCACAATAATATTTTTCATAACATATACAGTACGGAGTATTCAACAATATTGTGGAAGCGAATTTAATTTTGACATATCATAAATCATTTCAAACTTGTCACATCCATCCCCACAATCTCGCCCCATCTGCCGCCAGGATCACATTATGCTTTCTGTATACCTGCGTGTAGCAAATAAAACACACTACACGCTCAGCGGTAAAGCTGAGTAAGCATATCTAATGCGTTGAACATCCATATAAACTGAATCTAAATTCATAATCAAATCATTTGATATCATGCACACAATGTTGATTTCAGACATTCACAGTTTTGGTATTGTTCAGTTCATATCAATACATTTTATTC